AGGAAGGTAATAATGACAAAGTGGAAAAAGATGATGATATTGCATTGGAAAGGATTAAAGAAGAAATGCAAGAGACACCTAAAATTAATAGTCGGCTTGCCCAAAACATATATGATTTCACTATGATAGAGCTCAAACAAAAGGTCCCTAAAGTAAATGAACTATTTGTAGCGGGGAGGATGGCTTACATATTTGAACTTGCTGATGAGATGGGCGGATATGGGGATCCTTTCGCCATTCCGACAACTGTTATTCGTAGTAAGGCTGATGTAAGTGATTCTGCGGGGGTTGATAAGTCTACAAATGATCTTGTCATCGAAAAAATATCTCGAGTAATGGCTTATATGCGAAAAGGTGAACGAGCTAGTGGTGTAGATGTCAAAGATAAAAAGCTTAAGAAAAGACATAGAGAGAAACAACCTGCGGAAGTTACAATGGTGAAACTTGCTGCTATTGACGATTCCGAAGATATATTCGCAGATGCAGGAAGAGATTATAAAGTTATGATCGAAAATGATAATGCTGTAGATAAGAAAGATGTTACACCGTTACCCACAGATTCTTCAATTAGCACTAATGTTGAAAAGTCAAATGATTATTTTAGTACAAATTCACAGGAAATAGAGGGTGAATCGATGGAGATTGACAAACCGCAAGAAAATCAAACTTTAAAAACTTTAATACATCAAGCAGCGGCGGCAAACGGTGTCAAAAATATAGATGAGACATTAACTACTGAACTTGGTACAGATAATTATAAATCTTCAAAAAGAGATGGTATTAAAAAGAGGTTATTTGGGCAAGATAGCTACGAAGGAGACTATTCAACATATGGACTTGGAGTTAGTAGTTTAACAGGTACACGAGAAAGTGCTTACGATTCTGGGCATTCAGATTCAGATTCAGATGGCACTGGCGTTGAGCATACTATCCGAGATCAAGGGGTTACCAAGAATAAAAAGGCCCAATTATCAAGGTGGGATTTTGACACCGAAGAGGAATGGCAAGCTTATAAGGTAATATATATTTATTTATATTGTTTAGATTTCAAACCTTTCCACAAGCGTTATGGCTCTTTTCATCTCTTTTTTTTTCACGTTTTTTTTTAGGACAATGTAACTGCGATGCCAAAATCGGCGTTCCAATTTGGGGTTAAAACAGGTGATGGTCGTAAAACTCGAAGAAGTGGTAGGGAGTTGACAGAAAAGCAAAAATTGGATAGAGATTGGCAAAAGATTAGTAGAATAATGGAGCAAAAATATGGAACTGAAGAAGGTGAAGAAGGTGTATCACGAAAAAAGCAGAAGAAATAAATAATGCAACTTGAGACTTTATAGACTATATATAAATTAATTCTTACACATACACATATATATATTCATTTTCTTTCGTGTACATTTGTTTTTTAAAACCAAAAAAGTCTAGTTGTCGTAATACTGGTTGAATTTATCAAAAATAATATAAGAAATAGAACTTGGTGTTAAAAAGTTTTTAATGTTTACATTACTATATTTTTTTAAAAATTATTTTTATTAAGTATATGTATTAGTGTCAATTAGTTGTTTACAGTAAATTATTATAATTAAAAAATATAGTCTGATTTAATTTGGATTTCTTAGACTAGCAACTAAATTTATTTTTTGGCTCCATCTTATTTCAACTAATCGTTAAATGATTGCCTATTTAATAAATTTTGGAGAAGACTTTTGAAAATGAATTATGTGATTATGTAGTTAGCCAACAAACTTAATTAAAATAGTACTTTAGCGATGGCGAAAACGAAGAGCTTCTCCTAACACGTGACATAATGTGCGCGCCAACCGATAGTCAAGTATTATTTCGATAATTTAATATTATTTTGAAATTAGAATTTTTTGACGTTCCCGATTTCTGCATTCTGATCGTCCATTTGTGGTTCTATAAATCACGTGAATTTGTTAAAATTTTTTGACGGTCCTGCTCGAACACCCCAAGGTTACATGGTATCGGTATATGAATGCGTGAGCAAAATTTTACAAGGAAAACTTTTAATTAATGCGCAGAAGGCAGTTTCATAGACTAAATTTTGGTTATAAGCGATTTTTTACAAACGACCGTGTTACGTTACACTTCATCTTGTGATTTAGTGATTTTGCATGAAAAAATTCTGTGCCCGGTTTTCCTAAACTACGAATCAGATTTCATGAATTAGGTGTAACGTAACACGATCAAGAAATTTCAAAACAAACGTTCGTTTTGTCAAAAATCGCTTATTTCTCAAAATATGTATAACAAATCACCTTTTTCTTTATGCGATTTTACTATATACTCGCTTAATCTCTAACCCTATTCTAACCGCTAACCCTAGCATTAATGAGCTTTAAAATTTTGCCTGTGGAGAAATTTGAATCTGTGCCCGGTTTGCAGATCCTTCCGTGTAACATCCATGTTTACGTGCAATCCTATTGGCCGATGATAATATGATCATCCGATTTATTAACGAATAAAGTTTTCTTAGTAACCACTTTATTAATATTGATAATTTTTTTTTATCAAAATTCTACGAATACATAGAATTCAAATAAAAAAATTTTTGTTGAAATTGACGTAGTTATTGAGAAAACTTTGCCCAAAGTCAGAAAAATTTTTACCTTTGCAATTAGAAGTTTTTTTGATATTTACTCAACTAATTTCTATAAATTCTTTTACTTAAATCTTACATAATTATAAATTCAAATAAGAATCTTTATAGAAATTAATTAGATAATTATTAAGAAAATTTTGTTCAAAGGTTTTAAAAAGTTAAACTCATAGATGGAAATGATTTTTTTTGACTTTGAATGAAATTTTCTTGATAACTACTTAGACAACTTTGATAAAAATTAATTTATTTGAATTTTACATAATCATAAAATTCAGATAAAAAAAAAATTCATCAAAATTAACAAGTGATCATTAAAAAACTTTGCCCAAAATTTAAAAAATTACAATTTT